GAGTCCGAAAAAATTAGTATCATTGTTTAGTTCTCTTTCATCCACAATACGTGGCTTTTTGTGTCATGTAAATATTGTTTCTCGTTTGGTTTTTACAAGCATTTTTCCGAACCCTTGAAAAACTGTGAAATTCGGCCGGTTTTTTTCGCATAGGCACCTCTATTTCGCTCGGCACTAAAAGGGTTAAACAATGCTGAGGCCATCAACAATCACTCAAATTTGCTTATATATTTCAAAATTCTATCAACGTTCCGACGACTTTTTTAAATAAATATTCGGATTGATAACCTATTAAAAGCTATTTAATGTTTAACTATTCACTTAATTTCTTGGAAAATATGGGCCCCCTCGCGAACTCCTCGCCCGGGAGAAAACCAAACAGACGGATAGACAAACGAACATGCCTTTATCGACTCAACTCCTCACGCTGATCAATTATATATATACTTTATGGGGTCTCCGACGTTTCCTTTTGGGTGTTACAAACATTATGGAAAACTTAATATACACTGTTCAGGGTATTAAAATCTACAATATTTACTGCTTTTTCTTAACTGTGGTATACGCAATGTAGTCTGTGTGTCCTTATGTACACACTTACCCGGCTCTCTGGCTGCCGAACTATTGTTTAAGAAACCGTTTACAATAATCTGCATTTTAAACTTGATTTGCTACTGTTTCTTGATATTTTTTAATTAAATATAGTTTCAACTAACTACTGTTTTGCGCCACCTTTTAAGCCATTAAAAGTGTGTAACAAGTACACGTATGGTATTGTCCAACTTGACATTGCCTTTGTGGTGAACGTGTGACTGTCAGTGTATAGACACGATTGCCGAATGGCGTTTTGTTGGTTTCGTTGAATGTTTTGCTAGTTTTGCTTTCATTTAAATGCAAACTTCCAATCACTAGACACTCATACTGGCAATTAAATCGTTTGCCTTTGGCAATTATTATATTTATTTTGACTTATAAGTGGTGCTTTACGAGCTTACGTAGATAAAATATTGTCATTGTTATCACAATGAAATATGTCAAAATGATATCTGACTCAATCGCTTACGTGATCTTTAGAAAGACTTAACGGTGATTGATTGATTTTAAAATTAGCTGTTATGCAAATATTGGCTTGCCTAAAATATACAGTAATTAATTTTCAACTTTTATTATATTTGTCTATTTTCGAATTAAAAAAAAAGAGGTAAGTCTTATCCCACATTAAATGTATAAAGTTACTCCGTTAGAAGTTTGCTACAATTGTTATGCACTTAAAAGCTCCGAAGTCCAATTACCAAAAAAAAAGCTTGGTTGTTAGGTAATAATTTGCTTTGAGCCTCTGAACCGCCGACTTAAGTCTAAGGATTAGAGACTACTGTTTATACTCGTAATTGGACTAGTAAGCTGAACAGGAAATAAGAATTTAATGTTCCTGAATTGATGTAAATTTAAACCTAAGTTTTAGAAAATGTTATAGAGATACATTGTAATAACAATCATCCATGATGTAGTGATCAGTTCTTAAGTTTCGAAGTACCAATGCTGATTTTTTTAAATCTGAGTATAAGCAATATGCTTTCTCATCGACTGTCGACCGCCTGTTCGCTTTTAGTTCTTCTGTTGTCGTTGCCTTCAGAATTTGATTTTTAGAATCGAGATATTGACAGTATTTATGTCTATAAACTCGTTCACAGAAATATTTGTTGTGTGTCAAACTACTTTCTTACGAGTATTTTCAAAGTTGTTCACACTACACATTCAATAGGTACTAATTAGTTATAGGATTTTTTATTTTTTTATAGATTGGGCAGAGTACACTTAGGTAACCATTCGAGTACAGTTTTTTTCCTTCGAATTTCATTCTCATTATTTTGTGTTTAAGCTTTTCGCACTGTCGTATACCTACTTGTATTACCCTTCTTGTTAGAATTTTAAAGATTGACCGATATTTTTGGCAATAAGTCAGCCACAGGCATTGTGGTCCACATATTATATATAATATATGGGGGATCGAAAAGTTATTATTATTGAAGTTATAAGTGGCTTTATCATTTTTGGGTTAACGGAATTTGATTGGCGTGGAAATGGTCTGTACAAAAACAAATTTACTATAAACCGCACCATATAGTTAAAACTTGAATTAGATACATAGTTGAAAATCAGGCGTTTCCCGTAAAAGAATTTGGGTTGATAGGTTATGGAATTAATTGTAATTACTCGTGCTTCAAATTCGCCACTGCCTCAGTGAAATGAATCTGATTGACTGTCATGCATGACTGACAACTAGCCATGGTAAATATATTTATGTGTGTGTTTAAATGTTAAGTAATAACGGTGCATATAGTAGTTTTACGAATATTGTTCATAAGAGGAGCGATATCAATTACGATTTTGAAATTAGATTAAATGCATATTAATGGGATTTCAGAAATGTTGCTGTTCTAATTAACTTTTATCTTTCCATATAATTATATAATTATACAGTGTAGGACGTACTAATACTACCACAGTAGAAATGAAGCAAAGAAGGTTTTTACATAAGTATTAAAAGTAAAAAGGCTAAAGCTGTTTAAAAATTATATCAAAACACTATCTCATTTTGTAATTCATCAAATTTCTCCACACTTTTCTGTGCTACGAACATTTTGTACAAAACTGACATATGTTATGTACATACATACATATATTTCATTGCGTATGCGTAACATTTTCGTTAACAACCTTGAGTACTTTATTGCAATTTGACAGCTTGTCATTAACAATTGACTCTCAGTTGGGTGCTTACTTGGAATTCAAACGGTTATTGTTGCTGTCAAATTATATTGTGACAAATTTACTTTTGATAAATTGCTTTTGTAACAATTTTTACTTGAAATTGTGCTACTAATATTTAAGGGTTTTGAAAGTTATAACTGTAGTGCATTATTCAAATTCTGAAAATGACAATTAAGCAGCAACGATTTCGGTGTGGCATTAGTTGTTATTCCTAATGTTTTCAATTTGACCACACTCTTTAATATTATTAAATCATATGGAATCAATAGTGTTTTAGGTGTCATGTCAACAAAGGATAAGGTTGATTTCTTTCTTTCAATAGATTTTCAACTATTATTTTATTATAATTTTAATTTTTTTGATTCCATAGAGCAGGGCGAGGAATAAACTTCACTTATTAATATTTCAATATCCATATTCTCAAAAAGTGTAATGAATCAATCAATCAAAAATCAGCTGAATAATATGCGCAATATTAACGCGAGCAAAGCATTGATCAGCTTCGGTTTCGGATTCGGTCAGCTTTCGCTAAAGGATTTTTTGAGCAAGTAGAACGAACTTGTAACTGAACTAAATATACCCTGCAATACTGTATTAAAAATCTGACAGGCCTGCCACCAATACAACCAACCACGTCAGGTATACTAAATTTTTACAAAAAAAAGCCGTTTAGCTTTTGTTATATCATTGTCACAAATTTCTAATTCAGTCCGCGCCTAATATCCTCTCTGAACCTTTATTAGTCAACAAAGTACTTTCGATACGTTGCTTCTTCCTAATGAAACGTCTACATCTTTATACGAGTATAGTCAGGAAGTCTACTTTATCTGCAACATGGAGCAAAAGGACGTTTAAAAATGACTGTTTGAAAAGGTTTTGACATTTCATTTAATTTATCGACAAGCATTTTTAATACAAACTTGCTTCCTCGATAATGTGCTACAAAATTAAAATAGACAATACAAGTATTTCAATTTGCTGATGCACAACTTCAAACGGATTTAAATTATCTATACGAAAAAAATTATCTGCCTTTAAGCTACGAAAATTTCGAATGTATAAAATGCATATACCCAAACTAAGCCATTGCTTACTTGTTATACCCTGAGCCGGGTATATTAAGTTTGCCACGAAGTTTGTAACACCCAGAAGGAAATATATATATGCGAACAAGTCCTTCATTTATTCAGATATCGATTTGAAAATTTCCCCCATCCTTTTCTCCCCAAGTAGCTGCTCTTTTATTGAAACCGCCGATATCGGACTAGTATAACATAGTATATAGTTGCCATACAAACTGAACCACCGGAATTCAATTATTGTATGAAAAACTTTTTTATCTGACGAAATATCTTCACATTATTTGTTACAGATTAATATCTAAGGTATTACTATAATACCGAAACAAATTGTTCAGAGCAGACCATTGTAGCATATAGCTGCCATACAAATCGACTGTTCAAAATCAAGTTCTTTTATGAAAACTTTTTTTATTTGTCAAGGATATTCTAGCTTCGCTGCAACCGAAGCTAATGTTTATTTTTATTGTTTTTCGTTCGATTATTCAAAACTTAATATAAGTATGTTTATGCTCACAAATCTCTTTTCCATTAAAGTAATAGAGCAGAGAGAAGAATTAAATATTGAAAACAATAATAACCATCTAAAATAAACTTAATTACTTAGTAATTACCTTTCGCTAACAAGAACCACTCCTGGCTTACTTTAAAACTAAAACCAGGTCGAGTTCTTGTATACTAAAAAAAAAGCTTTAAACTAGTTTACTGTTTAATCTATGATTTCTTGTCAGTATAGAATGGCTAAAGCAAGCAGTAACGGTCAAAGCATTGGAACATATAGCGGTAATTACGAGTGACCACCACGCGCGCTTTCATTCGTTGATAACGAGAATTGGCTCGTAGGCAGGCAGATACGAAAGATCGGGCGGTTACTTACTAAAACTACCGGTTCCAAACAGCTGATCGAGAATGCCAGGTGTGCCACGAAAGGCACTGTAAACAAAAACCATGGTAAATACACTATATACATCAATACATATGCAAAAATGCAGTGTTCATTTTCATTCATAAAAACCGGAGTCACCGATTGCTATCAGCCAATTCATCCTCTCGCTAGATCGTTCATTTCGATTTGATCGAGAGAGTTTCAGTTCAAATTTGAGCACAGCCATGCCAATAGATTTAACAAGTAGCTTAAAACACTGCAACCTTTATGGAGCAGCGAACAAACGGTGTTTGGCGTTCGTGAAGAGCGTACGCGTTCATTGTGTTCGTAAGGTAAATTGTTGGGGCAACATAGGTACTTATTGTGATTTTGCGCTAGTGTACTTAATTGAAAACGGTATTGCACCTTGTATACTTGTCGTAGAAAAATGTGTGTTCGCAAAGAGGAAAACGAGCGAAGCAAAACATTTGTTTACAAAAGAAAAACTGTGAAAAATCAATGATAATACTTAGTGATGCATCAAGGAAAAATATATATATACCGTTATAATATGAATATTCGTTTTCCTTCACGTTTCGACAACATTTCAGCTATTTCGCTTAAAAAGCGTGTATTTTTAAGAGAAAAGTCGTGAGCACGAATTTGGGCACTGTCACTGCAGCACACGCGTCTAACTGTAAATATTCGGCCATATGTAGCGACCGCTGCAGCTGCAGTGAGATATATCACAGCGCAAAAGCGACTTTCATCGGCATCAGTCAGCTATTATGGTATCATCACCGTCATTAGTGAGTGAGTGTTGTACTCACCGTTATTTCAACGCTTCGAAGTAAATGTTTTAGCAAAGTCGAGCTTTCTTCAGTGTTGAGTTTGAAAATTGAAAGTGCTGTGTGCTGTTACTAATGTGGCACGATCGCTACAAATATAACTAACTTGTGAAAAAACGAAGTAATCAGCTTTTAAAAGTAAAAGAAAAACGAAATAATATGAAAAATAGAAAATTGAAAGAAGTGATTGATCGGCAATTAAAGTGCGATTAGTGTTGATCTTTGATCGGTGTTCGTTGATCGTTGATCTTTGCTGCAACTAGATGTAAATCTGGTCGAATGATCAAATGAGTGACAAAACAAAAAACTGGTGTCGACGGAAATGTGTCTGCATGTATTTGTATAATAGTTTATAGTTTAACTTTTGTTCATGAAACATGTTGCAAGTGCAGTGCCTTTATGTAGTAAGACAAAATTATTGATTTCCGTGTGCAAGAAAATGTGAATAAATACAACGCAATAAAACGCGCATGCTAGCAAAATAAACAATTTAAAAAGAGGAAAAGAAAGAGCGATAAATAATTCGCAAAACTTATAACGTTTTAAAACATTATTTCAATCTTATAATTAATCACTACAGTGGGTTGAAAACAATTTATCGCATTTTATTTATAACATATGGAAAAATTATATATATTTTTAATTCGCTTATTTATTTTGCTGCCTTTTGCATTGTTAGCTTTTCAATTAATAATTTTTTTTTATTCTTTTAATTTTTATTTTGCATTCCAGTTTGCACGCGATCGCATTGAATTCGATAAGTTTCTGCTCTAATAGTTTGAAAAGCCGCGAAAAGTGTCGGTTTTCATAATTTTTACACTCCAATATTTATTTATTTTTTTTTATCGAAGCTCGTTTTTCTAGTTTATTTTTGGTATTATTTTTGCAGTTTTTGCGCATATTTTCCTATGTATTTTTTGGGTGGCTTCTGTTTGACTGACTGCCTGAATTACGAAACGCGGCTACGATTTTACTAATTCCATTTGAAGTTTGGATGAAAAAATTATATAAAGTTATATTAATAACTTCAAAATTACAACAAAATTATGCATGCAGTAGAAACACAAAAATAAGAAACCAAATTTGAAATTTAAGCTCCGCCGACAGCCATACAGCTAACTTTTCCTGCCCGTAATTATTAGCTTGGCGCACAGTAGCCGCTGCCGCACTTTTTTCTCTCGTTTTCTACAAGCTGTACCGTTAGTCAATGGTATAATAGTGCGTTGGCCGCAACACTGACCCCACACACGTTAAATCGCATATAGGAGTCAACACTCGCACACGCACGCACAAAACAAAACAAAACTCAATGAACAAAAAAAATTACAGCAACAACCAGTCGCCAGCCGCCAGCTGCCACAAAGCTGTGAATAACTCGCTCAAAAACAAAGAAAAAGTAGATGCTGGTATTGCAGCGTCACGACAATGTAAATTTTAGCGTAAACTTTTCCCGTTTACAAAAGTGAAATCTCTCCAGTTTTCACCTGTGATCGCTTGTGCTTTTGTTTTATTTAATTATTTATAAATATTTACTTATGTCTGTAACCGCTGTTGCTTTAGCTGATTATTGGTGTTGAGTGTTGACTTTAACATTATTTCCTATTAATTTTAGTTAAAACAAGCATACATTAAAATTTTTGCTCAACAAAAAATTAAAATAACCACAAAGATAAAATTAATAACAACACGAAGAAATTTTTTATAATATTTCATCTTTGGCGTGAGATTTACCTCTGCTCCTGGTTGTGACTATTGAATTTCATTCAAATACCTTCACGAGCAATTTCAAAATGGCATTTCAAAAACAACGCTTCGTCTTCGGCCTGTGTTTGCTTTTGCTGCACTCTACAGTTACCATTACATCCTCCAAAGCCAATACTAAGGAAGCTGTAAAGCAGGCTCAAGATGATAAGAATAAAGGTGAGTTTTGTGAAAGCTAATTGTTTACTGACTATAGGCGTAATTTGTGAAAACTTTAAAGTTAATATACGCCAATCGTAGCTATCAAGGAAATTATGCTCAAAATAGGGCTTTGATTAAAACTAAAATGAGTGAGCAGGGAAACTATAACTTATAAATTTATTTTCGAAAACTATCGAGGAAATCTCAGGATATATTCAAAGATGTTCAAAACATATGCTTCAATTGGAGTTATGATAGATAACTTATTGTTATTTATGACAGAAAGGTGGTACACTTTCATACTAATACGTAGTTTTTATTATGACAAATTCAATGACGCTAAACTGACAATAGTAGATTGTCGCTGTCTTCGAATTGCCAAGCGTTGGAGAGTAGCGAATCGAACAAACTATACCAGATTCTCAAACAAACGGCAAGCACTTGTGGTGCAACCCTGTTCTAACATGCCTTATGACGCGTCCTCAAAAGTGTTATGATTTTTTCTTAGTGGAAAACTCCTTTTTTGTGCGTTAAAAAACGGTGCAGTAGCCCTATATTTTTGTTTTCTATAAATTATTATAATTTATTTTGAGTCTTAAGCTTTAAAAATACAAGAAAAACAAGAAAATTTGTATTTTCATTTTTCATTAAGCCATTCAAAATAGTAAAACTGATCTAAAATATGCAAAACAAAACTTGGTTGCATTGGAGATAGCGACTATGTCAGGTTAATGTCTCTCTCTTTCTCTCTCTCTTATACGAGCTCGATAACTTTGTTGTCGATTTAAAATGTAATTTTTTTGCCAAGAGAGTCGAAGCGAGCAGAAGCTAAGCTAAGAGCTAACATGTTTTCAGAAATCAAAAAATATATACAAAATTACTTCAATTGTAATTGTGATGACATTCCACTGCAAATTAATTTAAAAGTACAAATTTAACTCTTTTTATAGTTTACATAAATTGTCATAAAATGTCATAGAACTCTTTTCATTGCTTTGACTTCAAGTATCATTGGAATTCAGAAAGGGACTATAAATAATATGATAGAGACAACATTGCAATACGCAAACTCAAATACGAAAGAACTGTCAAATATTCATATTAATTTATAACACAATGTGGACAATGTCGTTTAAGACGTCTCGTTTTAGTGTTAACCACTCTCTTATTTCCATATCCATTATTCATGAATATTTAAATTTTTTCCTCTTGAAATTTAAATATGGCTTGTTCGATACCTCAAAGTGAACAGAAACTGTTGAAAGCATAGTGAAAGGTATGTTATGACTGCAGCACTCGGTTGGGTATTGTACCAAACAATTTCTGCAGGAGATTGAATGATAAGGGAAAAAATTTCTTAGTGTTTCGAAACCAGCTTCCAAAATTGAAATATTTGAAAACATCTGTATTATTAGAAGTATTTAAGTTCCTAAAGACGTACAAATTTGGAAATTAAATACATTTTCTTTTTCAAATGTTGCATTTTTTGGTCAAGCGCATATGACAGATGCTACATGGTTTCAATTCGAGCCAATATTTATTTTTAAAATATAAAGTTTTTATTTCTAAGGTCCGATTTCGAAACCTTGTGGCATTTGTCATATAAGCTGAACGAATATACCTATTTTATATATCGTTGAAACAAGAGGAAAACGTTGATGATGTCCATATTTTTATTTTTTTCGGAATTAACATACTATAAGTAATGTTGGTTTTTTTCAAAAAGAGCTATTTTCAAATTCGTAGAAAAGCCAAAAAATTAAAAATGGTCAAGTAGTTAGAAGGAATATATTTTAATTTAAAAGTGTACGAAAGCACTCATATAGTAAACTTTTTGTAGTCGTATCTAGGTAGGAAAGGTATAGATGTTTTTCCACCGAAATTTTTACTATTGTACATTTAGTATGAATATTATTATTATAAGAACCCTTTCAGAATACTTATTTTGAGATGTTGATCACTAATATAAATATCTTAGTCGTAAATAAATACCAACAAATTATCAAATTGTTTAAAATCAACAACTCGAACAACAAATCTGCGCCTTCATTAATCACCATCCTTTAGGAACCAATTTGCTCCACTTACCGACATTTGTGACTAATTAAGTAATTATAAATATAATAAATGTCAATTAAAGACCCATAAAGTATTAATATTTCGACCTAAATCAATTTCCTTTATAAAAGCTAACATAAATGCAAATCGGATTATGCAAAACACGTTTAATTAAAACGCATCACTTCATTAGCAATTTATAGCGATTAATTTAATGATTACTTACTACACAAGCTTCCTCCAATTCCTCCAAATATGTGGAGAAAGTGGGAAAGCGGAATGCAAAATTAAGGTAAAAAACTTGAAATCCAAAAAAAATGCTTTTGCGGACTTGAAAAATTACCTCCAATGTGGATTAGATAAGAAAGTCCTATTGGACAGAAAGAAAACAATTGCCTTTTTATTGCATGTAGATTTGTATGCACCTAGTTTCAAAGTTAATAGCTTTCTCACATTGCTGAGTGTTAATGTAAGATAAGAAGAAAAAACTTAATGATTTTAGGCTATGTAATTTAAGGAAAGTAACATATTAATAATATTTTTTAAAAATATTTTTAATCTTTTTATTTACTTACTTAACTTGTATTTTTGCACGTAAAATTCATTAGGTCTGAATTTAAGGTCTTGGGGAAATGGTTACTTGCTTTTAATGACTTTAAAGGGAAAACAAGTTTATCATCTTGCTGTCATTTCACATCTGTCTCCATATTATATTTTTATTTTTGTTACATTTCCTCTTCTCATTATAATAAACGCTTGCGGCGGATGCTTTGGCACGCACTGTCCATTTAAGAGTCAGCTGGCAGTCCATGCAAAGTGTGCCGCGAGCTGTCACGAAACACACAAACTTATTTAATGTATATACATATGTAAATATATATGAGATTTGTATGAAATACATTATAAATCTGCATTGATTGGGGGTTAGATGATGGAAGAGGAAAGTTCGAAACAATAAGGAAAGTAAAAAAAAAAGTAATATTATTATGTCATTTTGGTTAAAATGAAAGAAGACGTGTTTTGATAAGAAATAAATCCTGATGGCAAAAAAAAACAGTGTCGCAAGTCAAGAGCATGATATGTGTCCCCAGTATATTCAACGGTTAAATAGTGATTTCTTGAATTATGTAGCAACGGTACTAGCACAAATGATGCTCCTGCTCAGGGAGGTCACAAGAGATACAGTCCCATTGGAATGCATAAATTCGTAATATTTTGTTGGGTTAACGTAAAATGATAAGTTGAGTGAAATGAGCGATAAATTGAAGAAATTACTTTATAAACTAGTGGTCTGTTAAACTTTCTCGTCAAATTTGTGCTCCGGTACCTATTTCCTTTTTCCCTGACTCAAATAATAGCTCGCTAAAAAACATTTCCCTGAAATGATGAGGTCAAAATGAAAGTAAGCGCTTTTTTGGAAGGCCTCGAAACTTCACACTATCAAGCCGGTATCGAAGTGTTCGAGTACCTTTACAATACTGCAGATAGAGATTACGTAGAAGAATAAAGCCATAGTTTTTTTCAAGGAAAAACGTTCGTTCATTGATAAGCCAAATAACACAGTTCAGTTGCAGTCGATTTTTCGAAGTTCGCCAAATCAAGTCGCCTCTTATATGTTATGTATAAAAACACGATTTCATATTATATAATATATTAGATACGAATTAGTTAGGAAAATATTAGGATACTAGTCGGAAGTGAGGGCGAACCAAGAAGCTGCAAGGAAGTAGCTTTACCAATATGCTACGTAGAAAGTTGATTATTTTCAAAAATTCATTTTATTTAAAATATAAAAAAAATATATACAAATCATTTATTTTTGAAGGAATATCGTAGTATTTGCAGCACCTAAGCCAGTATTTTGCCAAAAAGGCAAGTTCACCTATACTTTATTTGAGAGATGTAAGATATCATTTCAACAACGCAAAATAAATTTAAATGAAAGGTAATCAGTTATTATCTAAGTAAAAGGATGCTGGAACTAAAATCGAAACCAATCACCAAACCCCGAATTTCGTTTATTTGTAGCAAAAATATTTCTGTACTAAAATTCAGTTTATAAAATTTGTGATTCGAAGTAGGCTTTTCACTACACACAGAAGTATTTTCTTCTAATTACAAATTGTTAATTATTAATTAAAATATTATTAATTTTTAATTACTAATGATAATTAATTATTTACTTTTTAAAATTAATTATTAATAACAATAATCTTTCAATTATTTATTTGCATTACTAATTACTAAAAAGTTAAAAGATAAGTAGTCATAATTTCTACTCTTCGAATTCAAGAAATCCTAACATTTAATAGCTAATTATTTGTGGACTAAACACTAAATGTTTATTTAAATAATTGTAAAATCACTCTTCCAATAAATAATTTCATTGTTTTATTGCGCATTATTTACAATATACTATTGGCCACTAAATCCTAGGCGCAATGAATTGTAAAACAAACCTTTTATTGAGCCAATTGTTTGCTTATTTATATGTGAAGCGCTTCCTTATTGCCAAATAATTATTTTTTCATAAAATACAATAAATAGCGAGTGCCTTTGCAATTTCTTATTTGGTTTCACGAATAGCTAGCTACTAGTGAATGCTACTTACTGCAGAAAACTTCCACAAGCGCCGCCTGCTTCCAAAGCAAGGTGCTGCTTAATAATTTACGATCTTTGTCACCCATTCCCCACCATATTGTTGCCACCGCACAGCTTGTTCCCCTTTCAGCGAATTGGGCCGCCTTGTACCTTTTGGTTAATGTGTCAATATGTTAGGCGCTTCGCGAAGCAGTTGAGCCATTGTTTGCTTACGGTATTTCTAATCTTTATCTGCATACTTCTCCAACAAAATGGAATAGCTTAAATTTCGCTTTGAATTTACTGACTTACTGCACTTTCACTGTTTGTTATAATGAAATTGTGGCAAACAATAGCAAGACTTCTGCTTTTTCTCTAAA